TTTGCTTTGGGGTAATGCCGCCGATATTAATATAATCTTTGTCCAGCAGAAACGTGCGATTAGGGCAATCTGGGCCCCAGAGTGTCTTTGAGAGATAAGTTTAAAGAGATTAACATTCTTACAGTACATTTACGAAAATGTTATTTATATTAAGAAGAATAGTAATGTTTTAATGAAAAATAGTGACAGACATAACATTAATACGAGGAATAAAAATAAACTAGCTGTTATTGCTTCTATAATAAAATTCCGGTTGATATTTAAAATTTGCCATTTACGAAGCTTAAAACTATAGAGAAACAAAAATTTTAATACTAACTTTTAATATTATACAGTTTCTGCGTACTTGGATGACAAGAATCCGTGGTAGTGACCGGTTTAACTCTCATTCTAAGGATGTTGGAAATAAATATTGTAAATGTTAAATGTATTCAAATGTATATTTAAAAGAGGCAACCCCCCCTTGGAGTCCTTCTCTGGGGACTCTGTTTTACGAATGAGCAGTAGAGTTTAATTAATATGACGATTGCAAGTGTAATTTGCTTACCTATGAAATAAAGATGATTCGAATTTTTGAATTTGATTATGAAAGTAAGGAGTGAAGTTGATATTTAATGCTTTATAAACGAGCGCGCATTGACAACATGGGAAAGGGACAATAGGTTCCGACAAATAGATCTATTTACACAAAGTTACTCCTAGAGTCTCTTACTCATAGTTCCCGAGGGATTTGTGACAATTGTAAGTGTAAATTGCTTACCTGATAAATACTTATTTGATTATGAATTTGCCGGTGAGTCAAGTGTTCAAAGTTGTCAGATGTAAAAAATGGCAAAGCGACTTTGTAAAATTTTATTTGATAGCGTTTTTATAGATCTGGCGCATGAGATCACTCAGATGTGAGGTGCGGCCACACTAAAATAATTCCAATTGTTCGTAAGATAAATTCCAGGCAAGCTCGCTCATAACTTGAGGCCCTTGCATTTTTGTGACTTCACATATCCAGCACATGTGAACAAAGACGGTGCTACTTGATATGGAACGTATTCGCCGGTTCGTAAACCTGAGTCTTTGATCCCGACCGACTGTGCCATTGCCGGAGAATACCGCCTGCTACGATTAAAAGTTCAAAATGTATCTTTAAGGCCATGAAAGGCTCTGAAATTCATGATAGACTTTTGTTTAAGTGGCGGGACGAACAAGTCGTGGACGTGGTGGTAAGCGACACGCGTGTCCATGACAGTTGCAGTGCCACTCAGAGCTTTAAATCCCACCAACACTCTTACCCTTCCAAATCGAAACACAATAATGCTCACGTTACATAACGAACTCAGTATATAGGTATAGATAATAATAAGCCTGGCAACTCCTCGAATTACCTGGTCTTGAAAATCCCTTGTACTACAAGTACCAAAACATTTCTCTGAAACCTATAAATGTATTCAGAAAAGATCGTTTCGCAAACCAGTCCACCCGGAAATCGAATTCACAACAAACTAATCTAGCGCCCGTAGTGCTAACGGCGGGGCCACCGAGATCGTCAAAACTCTATCAATGCCACGGAATAATTTATACAAAGAATACAAAAAAAAGATGCATTGTATACATATCGGTACCACGCACCATGTTTTCTGAGTCTCAATTTACATTGCTGTGGAATGGAATGTTGTAATGAAATTATACATAGCATAATGAACTTTGTCTCAATTGTGTAATGTACAAACTAGATACATTATGTTCACTCCCGGAATTCGCGAGAATGCTCGAGAATTTTCCGGAAGGTGCGTGACCTCTTTTTTTGGCTTATCTACAGTCTGTCTTTTTTAAGATGGAGTAAAATGACAGTTTATTGAGCAAAAGTGTTGGCCGCTTGTAATCAGCTAGTGGTTGCAGTTGATAAATATTCTATCGACTATAGACTGAATGGTGGTCACGCTTAGTGATATATATCCTAATTTGTTTCATTTGAATCATAACCGGCCCATTATTCGTCCAACTGCCGAGTATAGGTTTATTTAAATTTTTTTCTGAGTGTTCGATCTTTGTATTAATAATTATAACAAACTAGTGGAGTAATTTCACAAAAAATAATTGAATATCAATTCAATAAAAATTTAATTTATTTAAATTGTCAATTTTTATAAGTTCATACGTAATTAGACTGTATTTAGAACTGAGTCTGTTTAAAATACAAAGAGGAGACATATTTTAAAGTTTCTCATTTTAATTCAATATTCTTTTTGAAAGGTACATGAATAAAAATTTATTCGATATTAATTGTGAAAATAAGAATGAAGAAGGCAATAACGCAATTAGTAATCGTTATAACGTCGGAACATTTACAATTGAGACGTTATTGACAAAATTCACAATTTATCGATAAAACAGTCGACAACAACAACAACAAGACTATTTAAAATTTTATGAAAACTAGCAGTTAAATTTTTTTTCATTCAATTAAATTCAACTGCATTTTCAAAATAGACTGACTGTAGATTGTACGTTACGAAACTGACAGAGTTAATAATGCTATGAACAATTGAATTGACTACCTCTGTGGCCGAACGGTTAACATGCTGGTCTACCACGTAGAAATCCCAGGTTCGATTCCCGAGCCGGGGGAATTATTTGTAAGGCCCACATTTATTTCGCTCGTAAGATTGGATGGTATTTGTGGTTGCCTATGTGTGGGTACATGACACCCGCGATACAGGACTTTCGAGTACGGGGCTATGAGTGAGTGCAAAATAATAAAAAAAAATTAAAAATTGTGTACAAACATTTGCTTCCATTCCATTCTGCAGCAATGTAAATGGAGCCTCATTCTTGAGATTTATTAATTTGTCGCCTACACATATTTACTTTACACAAGGGGGAACTAATTTACCAGTTGCCATACAAGGCATAATATACATAAGCAAACTACAATAAAACTAAAGAAGTTGTATGTGGGCGTAATACGAACGTGCGCGCGCAAGGTCACGTTTGTTTTTGTTTTAATTCCTTGTGTCATGGTAATAATAAACTTTTAATTTTTACGCACATTCCGTAAAGTATTTGAACAAGATTCAATGTAAACTTAGATATGGTAGTTAAACTGCGATCGCAGTGACTATGTTTTTTTGTAATTATTTCCGATGTAAAAACAGGGAAGTTTAATAACGTCCAAACTCACAGCATTAAGGGGAAACCCTGTATCCAGGTGCCATGGACCCACACATAGACATCCAGAAATTACATCCAAACTCAAAAGAAGTAAATGTAGGCCATACAAATATCTCTTCCGGCCCGCGAATGAAACCCCGAACCTCTGCGTGGCAGACCAGCAAAGTAACTTTTGGGTCATGGAGGCAGTTAAAAAGCTCTGATAGCCTGGTCACTCACCATGGGCCATACGCAGGATTACTATTTAGTAGCAGAAGAACTCCATTGGGAAAGACTTAGTTCAGAGAAGTATTTAGCCCTTTGTAGAAGTCCTAGTTAAAGCCTCTCAGATCTTTATGATTTTTGTGATTTAAAGCTCTAGTGTCACTGCAACTGTTATGGACACCATCCTCAAATCGGGCATTAATGGACCTTGAGTTATAAACATGCCTCAGATGATATTATAATCACAACATCAATTAGGCATCCTGTACACGGTGCATCATGATGGCGCCATAATTGCATAGCGCAGGCGTCACACGATCGCTATTGTTAGGATTTTGTGTTCATAGTTGAACCTAATAATACATTGCTATGTCCATAATACGTCCAAGATCTTTTAATTGCTTATTTCGCATCTCTAGTTCTGAAGTACAGTGTGAAGTCAGTCATTATTTACCCAAAAAAAAAAGAAATTTAAATTTTAAAATTACTTTTCAAGCATCTTCTATACAACGACTGAACTAAAGGGGAATGACACGTCACAATTTACACTTAAGATTTAAATTCCCTTGCACGTCACTTACGATGGAACAGTCATAAGTCTAAAATCATAAGTATAAAACCCAGCGTTCTGTTCACTGTACGCTAAACTTTCCAGTCTCAAGATGTTCGCTGTTAAAGATGTTTTCTAGACATCCCCCTCGGCTCGAATATGCCATGAAAGTTGTAAGAAAATAAAACCCTATTTCGGTGTAATAACAAAACTTTTCACTCTAAGGTATTAAGTACATTATTGCAAAGGCCGGGAATAAGGGATTGCTGGACGAGTAGAGTTATTAATGTATTAATACGAGTCAAGCAATATCTGTTCCCACCGAGGCATGTATAGAATTTTTCTCAAACTATGTGAGGAAATAAAAAATACTAAAGAGAGGAAGATGTATAATAGCAAAAGTAAAAAAAAAAATTTATATTAAAAGTAATATTTGACATGTTAGGACAATTGCTGTAAGAAAATGGTATTGTTTTTCCAGGCACATTAATAAAATTATTTTTTTAACCGACGTCAACAAAAGGAGGAGGTTCTTAATTCTACTGTTTTTTTTGTATGTATGTTACGCGATAACTCCGCCATTTGTGAATCGATTTTGATGATTCTTTTTTTGTTGGAAAGAGGGCACCTCAGAAGTGGTCTCATTTAAATTTGAAGAAAATATTCGACTTCTAAGGGTGGTAAAATAGGGGATGAATGACTTTTGAGTTCCTTTTTTTAGTACTCTGTACTGGGGTTAGGTTATTTAAGAAGGCGTACAGGTCTAATAGGTATTTTTAATTCTCGTGATTATGAACACTGGGCTATATAAGTTTTTATTTTACCTGTTTACATAGTTTGTTATTAGTGATGACTTTTCAAGAATGCATCAAGAAATATCTAACCAATCACGTAGCTTTAATCGCACGTGAAATACAAATTGATCAATTACATGGCTTTAACATCACGCGTAGAAAATTCAAAATAAACCAATCACAGAGATTTATTAATAAAAGTTCTTGCGCCAGAATGCAGCACAACAGACTAAGTTCTGAATTATTTCCTTTGATTCATTAATGGTGTTTCTTTCTCCTACATTCAGGTCACCAAAGATATCCCTTACACCCAGGCTCCCATTTAAACTGACGACTGCCGCTGATGGATTTTTAACCTCCCTGTTTGAATATCTGCAAGTATAATTATTACAGATCATCTATGTTGGTGGTGGTTTATTTGATAAGTTTTATTCGGTCGTATTTTAAATGGTGGATCATTATATGGATAAACTAACTCAGGTGTATCATCTTACTTCGTTACATTGCACTAAATGTCGTAAATGTCATTTCGTCGTAACTAACGAATAATTCGTAATTTATAGCATAGTTCATCAAAAATTGCTTTTTTATACATAAAAATAACTTTTTGTATTAACTGTAAGTAAGTAAATAAATAAAATAAAAAATAAAAATAAATATACAAAATAAATAAAACATTTATCATCAAAATTAGCCTTCTTGCTAGTTCTTTTACCCGTCAATACCAACAAGAAAAGCCCCTTTCCATCGCAGCTGCCAGTGATGCCATTTTTTTAATGAACGTTCTTGAATAAAATCGGTAACTATTTTCTATAAAATGGCAATTTTAAAGTATACATGTATTAAATACGTTGCTCTGATTCCATAGTAAGTTACCAAAGTGCTTATGTTATGAAAATCGGAAACAACGATGATACCACAAACACCCGAACCGGAGACAATACAGAAAAGTTAGTTTCTATATTGACTCGGCCAAGAATCGAACCCGAGACCTCAGAAATGGCGACACCATGTAAAGTGACGCGCAAACCACTATACCAGGTCGTCTCATAGAGCAATAAACGAAAAAATGTCCTAACTCTACTTTACAAAAAGGAATAGCTTCCTTTTTAACCTCATTTCACCATTTACGATTTTGCGCATCTATTTCATAGCTACAATACCATACAAACAAAATCGCGCCTTTGTTTCCTTGACACTGGCATCAGCACGTTTTTGCGTCCGTCTACAAAAAAAATTGCCCAGTTTGTTGACCTTACATTACATCATACATACATTCATACATCATTCAATTACTCACTGTGACCTTGTACGAGTTTGGCGTTTCATTGAAATGTTTTCAGATTCTCATTTTTGTTACATATAGTATGTTAGTTAATATAAAAATATTTTTTTTTCTCATGTTTATTCTGACTTTCTTCACTTTCATCAGGTAAGATAGAGGTCAAATGCGTTCTTATTTTTATATATAAAAAAATAAATTTTAAATTATATAATTAATTTTTTATTGAATTGATATTCAATTATTTTTTGTGAAATTACTCCACTAGTTTGTTATAATTATTAATACAAAGATCGAACACTCAGAAAAAACACTCAGAAAAAAAATCCTTCGATCCGGTCGGATTCAAACCGACGTCTTGCATACCGTGCCAGACGCTATACCAACTAAGCCACGGAATGTGTTTTTTCTGAGTGTTCGATCTTTGTTTTAATAATTATAACAACTAGTGGAGTAATTTCACAAAAAATAATTGAATATCAATTCAATAAAAATTTAATTAATACAGTGTATAGCGACATCTCTCGCCAGAACTGGTAGCTGTAAAGGTACTAACTGGGTGATAAATCTGTCATAGATTTCTCATAGATGGCGTTACGACTAAAAAGTCGTTGAAAGACCAAGTACAAAGACACGACGCAAGCACATAGAAAAATTCGTGAGGTCCGTTGGTTCGTTCCGTGGCTTAGTTGGTATAACGTCTGGCACGGTGTGCAAGAAGACGTCGGTTCGAATCCGACCGGATCGAAGGAATTTTTTCTGAGTGTTTTTTCTGAGTGTTCGATCTTTGTATTAATAATTATAAAAAATAATTAGTAAAATAATGTTCTTTATATATATTCAGAGCGAAACATTTACATTTTAGAGTAAGTCCTCGGTTTATGCGTGTTCTACAGTTGTTTAGTTTACCACTGATAAATAACAATCGAACATTAGCATAATGTTCCCACCATGATGTTTTTTGTCTAGTTACGTCCTTTTGAACAGTTTAACGTTTTTCTCTTTAAATAATTTACACATGGGTATTAATACATACGAATATGTTGTGTCGTCATTCGTCATCGTCAAAAAATGTAATATTATTATCCTGTATGATAGTTCTCCCCAATGATATTATACTTTTTCCCCTTAACTTACTTAGTGTTAGTATTTGTATGTGCAGTGTTTGCATAAAGCAGAATAAATAAAGATTACCACCGTAAAACAGCCCCAACTACATAGGTACCTATACTTACGTTACATTTATACTATTCTATACACGTCTCCATTACTGGCGGAGGATTGCCATCAGCTCCCAAAATACAGGGTTGCCCTAGTTTGGGAACTGATTGATGGTCTGTCCACTTATTTTTGTCAGTTTGTGTACGGACAACGGCACACCAGACTACAAATTTTTGTTCGAAAATCGCCTCAAGTGCAACGGAACAAGATACACCAATGTGTAGCTAATGTAGCGGCGTGTGTACAACTCATAATTTTTATTTATTATATCACCTTTGATACTTGTATTACTGTTGTAATGAATAAATTATTTATAATCATCATCAACCTATTTATACGTCCCACTGCCGAGCACGGATCTCGTCTCAGGCGAACGTTTATGCCATAGTCCGCCACTCTGGCCCATCGGTCCGATGTTCCGCTTATCCGTGTCAGTACAATTTCATTTTTTTTTTCTTTATTTATATCAGGTAACAAAAAGACCCATGTATACATATCTTAAAACTAACATACATACAATATAATAATAAAAAACTAATCTACACGATTTCACTTATCGGCGACGTGCGACAATACGAGACCTAGGGCTAACATTCGATACCCATTTGAATATGCATGGTGGCATAATAAAAATTTGCAAAACAACAGACAGGGTGCTAGGGTTTATTATAAGGACAGCGCAGCGACTCAATTCCGCGGCCCGAAAATAGCTATGTTACTTTACAATGCATATATTCGATACAAGCGTGGAATCCTCGAGAAACACAATACGCCTTAATGATTGAAAGAGTACAGCGCAAATTTACTCGGTATCTCTACTAAAGGCATTACGGCTATTATCCATTTCTTTACCCCTCACTGTTTATTTTTGCGATGGACGGGCTTGAGTCGCTTGAACTGAGACGGAAGCTCCTTCCCCACTACTGCCTACTCATACGCCATAAAATAGATAACCCTCCTGGATCTATTTGTGCCTGATCGATTTATAAGCTCGGTGGGCCGTACCTTTTTGCTGTCCCCGGAGCGCGCACTCTACAGGGTTACAATGCGCCAACCACCAGGGCAATTATCATACTGAATGAGTTTCTAGCGCACAACCAGATTGCTGATGTGTTCGCGGACAATTTGTCTCAACTCACAGCTGCAATAGCACGCTATGTAAATTTAAATTATTATAAAACTAGGTAATCTTGTATCATATCTTTCCAATTTATGTGCCTCATTTTATTGTGTTGTTATTGTTTTGTAATATTTAAGATGTCATTATTGCATCAAACTTATTTATCTTGCTGGACGCTTGGGTTGCCCTGTAAGTCCGCAAGAGTCTTATAATAAATAAATACTTCTTACTAGACTTCACACGTTTTCCGAGTGCTGTGAACCTTCTTCGACGTGCAGGTTTCGTCTAGATTTTTTCCTTCACAGAAAAGCTCCTGGAAAATTTCAAATTAAGAATGCCACGTAAATTCCGTGAACCTCAGAGGTGCGAGCCCGGAGTCGAGCCTCTGCTTAAGAGGCTACCACGGTTTGTTTTGTTGCGTATACTTACAATTTTATGCGTAAAACAGGATTTAAATATACTCGTATTTAATTTATATGACTATTGGATATTAGATTTATAATGTTAATTATGTCATAGTCCTAAGTTTCTTTTTTTTAAATCTTGTATCTTATATTTACATATCTATATTTATTTTATATTATGTATTAACTTAAAACCTTAGCTATAAATAACGGCGTCCGTAGTGAAATTTATTTTTATTACCATGTTATGGACAACTTAATTGATCTCTAGTGACAAAAACCTGACTGTCATAAATTAAGCACTGCGCTAACAATACACACAAAATATTTATGTCAAAAGACACGCATCGTAACTCTCTGCTAGAACTAACTGCCGTATCTGACATTTTTGTCGTATCTGCGAACATTCTCCACTAATTGTAGCATGTCTATGGTTTTATATACGAATGTAACTCTTTCATAGAACAAGATTAACACGTAGTACAATTTAATTTATGGAATACTCAACTGAAACTATTTACGATAACTTGTCAGCCGAAGGATATCTAACAATTTTTTCTCTATTTCAGCAACTCCTACTACCTAGTTGAGAAGCCACCCCGAGCGCCGCTAAAGGTCTATTGGAACGTTCCAACTAAACAATGTAAATCAAAGAAGATACTATTTGATGATTTATTTAAAAAATACGGCATCATTCAAAACACTCAGGACACTTTTCCCGGAGACAAGATGTCGATTCTTTACGACCCTGGATTGTTCCCAGCGCTTTTGTCGAATGGCAAAAGTAATTTTGCCGTACGGAACGGCGGTGTACCGCAAGAAGGAGACCTGAAATTACATTTGAATGAGTTTAAAAAGCGGATGGACGAGAGTATTGACAAAGATTTTAATGGTAAGACTGATTTTTTTGCTCATTTTCCATACTAATACGAAAAACCTTATTTTAAGAAATGTATATAACATAAGTTCCTAGTCTCGCATCTCTGAGCTGGAGCTCCCATATACCAGCTTGATTCACTTGACACCATTCAACGTCGGGCTGCTCGTGCTGTCGATGACCCCAAACTCACAGACGGTTTGGAATCCCTTAGTCTACGTTGGGTTTATCGTCTTTAGAATTGGAAGTGCTCAGAGAACAATGTGCCCCCCGCCAAAGGAATAGAGCTCATCCCCACATTCTTGATGCCTAGCATTGTGTCTGGTTGTTCAACGTTCAGTGAGTCAACAGGGCTTTCGAAGGTTGCCGATGTCCATGGGCGACAATGACCACCTCCCTTCACGTGGCTCACCTGATTTATATCTAAACTGCGTTACTCTATATACTTTCAAGTCGATTGGAAGCGTCCGGTTTGCACCAAATACAAAGGCAACTGATGGAAATCCGACGACCGCCGAAAAGACGAAGATTGCCGATGAGATTTTAGGAAAATATGTTGTATGTGAAACGATCGGATTTTTAGTTTTACAGCTATATATCAAATAACACACGGCGACGCTTGACAAAATGTTTTTTTGATAAAACTAATATACGTGATTTACTCGTAGGTGAAAAAGTAGTTCCATTTCCAATGTACAAGCAATATTGATTTAGATATTCGTGTAACTTGCCCTAAATGTTCAAACAAAATCGTTTTTATTTAGGTACTTATTAACATTATACATAGGAACTGTTTTGGGTGGTATTTTTACAGTCGGCGTTCTTTTTCAAGATAATAAACACTTTAAACCAAGCATGTTTTGTTAGAGGCTTTCCGACCTTTAATAACAAAATTCGGGTTCCTGAGTTTAAGTTTTTTATCGTGATATATCACATTTAGAGCGCCATATTCTATCTTATGACGTAAATATTTTTTGCAACAAATGACAAACGTAAAGATAAAAAAATAAGTACTTTGCTAAACTAACAAAATAAGGTTCAGTACCAACTTTAAACACACCTCGTTATCTATTACAATGTTAAATAAGACATTTATAGGTGCCTACTTAGCTGTCTATTATATGTGGGTTAAGTAAGTGTCTATTTTAAACCGTTCGTTCATTCGACATTCGAACCGAGTTCACTGTGTCAATAAGTTACGGAAATAATTTAAAAGCAATAGGTAACGTGCAAAATGATAATTGCCCTAATTCGAAACCCATTTACGTTATCTATGTTTTAGGAATACTTGACATACCGTACTATAGATACTTGGAGCAAAAAATAGCAGATATTAAACAGTCACTTGATTTGATAGCAAAGAGTCATTCGGTCCACCTGATAGAAAGCGGTTATGGAAACTTGTGATGCTAAATATAAAAAAATTTGCAACTTGATAATGAAAGAAGACTTTCTACAAAAGGTCCTACATTCTTATTATACTACGGCTCGTGTTTGCTTTTTTAACTGACTTCAAAAAAAGGAGGAGGTTCTCAATTCGAATGCATTTTTTTATATATGTTACACGATAATTCGTTTTTTTACGCTTTTTTGTTTTGTACGCCGCATTTGTGATCCTTTCTTTTGTTGGAAAGAGAGTACCTCAATATTATTAAATTTAAAGAAAATATTCCACCTCTAAGGGTGGCAAACTAGGGGATGCATCCAGTTTCGCGCACTTTCCGGCAACCGATATGAATAAAACTTGGCAACTTAGATGTAATGACGAACCACGAACCACGAACGTTTGTGGTCGGTTTTTTTTTGTAAAAAATTTATTATTATATATTCATAAATAAAAAGGATGACACACAACTATTAAGACGAGGTATTTCAACGCGAACCTAGATTTTAGTTGAAATATGGGAAGTCGGCCTTTCTTTTCCCGCAATCCGCGCGCTGTAAATTAATATGAAAAAAGTAAGAACGGACGGAGAAAATTTAACCCAATTCCAACGTCGATAAGCGCCTGATGGCGACTGACGCGGCAGTGGGCGGTGTTGCGTACCGTTAAGCCGCTGGACAATTTGCAAATTGCATAACAAATGTAAATTTAGTAACTAATAAAATTACAATTATTAATACAAAAATCGAACAAAATTCCTTCGATACGGCCGGATTTGAACCGACGTCTTCTAACATACCGTGCCAGACGCTATACCAGCTATGCAACGGAACGAACCAGCGGACCTTACAAATTTTTCTATGTGCTTGCGTCCTATTTCGTCACCCAATTAGATACCTGTACAGCTACCAGTCCCGTTCAAATCCGGCCGGATAGAAGGATTTTTTTTCAGAGTGTTCGATCTTTGTTTAATAATTATAACAAACGAGTGCAGTAATTTCACATAAAAATAATTGAAAATCAATTCAATAAAAATTTTAATTAAATTACAGTTAAAAATCAAAATTTAGAAGGTTCCCTGCAGTACCTAAAGAGAAATTTACGTATAAAAATTATGTACAAAGCTATATATTTTATTCATAAATAATTCATTGTAGACTTTGTTTAGTCTGTTTTCAGGATTTTATATGATAAGATATCCTTAAGTGTATCACACGTATATACTTTGTAAGACGGCTATTTTATAGTAAATACCTAAACCATTTGATCTAGCAAAACAGTTTTTCACGCTTTGCCGCCGCTGACTTCTCTTAATGGAAAATATTTACTTGTTATTAAAATCGTACATCTTACTTTCGACAAACATGTCAGATACGCAGTACGTGAAGACAAGGACGATATAATCGGATCCTTAATACGTTTTCATAAGTGACGTTTAACAAATAGATTATATACCTTTTGTATATTTATATTTTGTATTTCACGATTAAGTCGTTAAGGAAGTAGATTAGTTCCATTTGTAATGGTTTCGTTAATTGACCTAGTTCTTTACTGTTTTGTATACCTAAATAGGTACATAGATACTGTGGTGGTAATGTAGAACGATTGCTTCTCAATCATATGATCGACGATTCGAATACTTGTGGCATGTACCTATGGCTTAAATTTTTTTTTATACCATGTGACGGGATGAACAAGTGCGGCCTTGTGGTGAGCTTTATAAGTCACAACTTTTTACAATAAGATTCCGGAGCATATACTAAGATTATCATTGCCTAAGTTTAAAAACTACGTTAAAAATATTTTGATTGAAAAGTCATATTACAAAATTGAAGACTACGTGTTAGATAAAGATGTATGGAAAGACGACACGGCTCCAGAATCCACACAAATTAGATTAAGTGTATTCCATAGCATTTAAGTTTATTTGAAAAGAGCAATCCTTAGAGTTTCTTGTTTGTTCTTCTCAGGGAAGTTAGCGTAGTGAACGAGCAGTAGCTTAAATGTGTTTTCAAGTGTAAATTTATTTTTCCTATAGAGTAAATGATTCTTTGACTTTGACTTTGACAAGTCCGTCCCCACATGGAATACTGCTGCCATCTTTGGGCGGGAGCTGCCGGATCCCAGCTTGGGCCCTTTGACATGGTTCAAACACGTATTATGAGAATTGTTGACGATCCTGTGCTTACAGACGATATTGAACCACGAGGAGATACTTTGCCTACCTACGTCTGTTCTATACCCTGTACAATGGCCAATGTTCTGAAGAAGTGTTTGACATGATGCCTTTTTTTTCGTAAGGAAATCCTCCTAGGAAACCTCTCCGCCGCGGGGGCAGTGGAGAGGTTATGCTGGATTTCTACCGGCTAAAACCCCACGGTGGCCTTCTCGAGTGCTCTAGTGGGAGGGATCAGGGTTGACATAATGCCAACAGCAACATTTTACCATCGCACCGCTCGCCACCGGCAGGGAGTCCATCCTTACACTCTGAAACCGAGTCGAACTCATACTGTACGGAGTGAGAGGATCTTCCTCCTACGTACCAGCAGGAATACAGCATGGAGTCCTTCAAAAGGGGTTTTGAGAAGGGTTTGCAATGCGCTCGTAACGCCTGTGGTGGTGCAGGCGTTCATAGACGACGGTGCTTTCCATCATGCGGGCCTTATGCTTGTTTGCTGCCTACTTAATATAAAAAAAGCAACATACCTGGCCATAACAGTTGCAGTGTGACAAAGAGGTTTAAATCACAAAAGCCCTGAAACATAACTTAACAAGTCTCATGTGCAGTACATGAAGCAATTACTGCTTCATGTACTGCATGGCTGCAGAAATAGGTAAGGTGGTGATTGCTTCCCTTTCCTCTTCTGGGTGATTCTATCACTGAAACAATTACTGTCAATTTAGTAATAGTCGACCAAATTAAAAAGCAATGTCAAGTATGTAGCTTCATTCTCATCATTCGTCATACTTATTTGTCGGACAGAGAACGAGAGCACGGGGCCAGGGCCGAAATTTTGTGGGCCTGGCTGAAGGGGAGCAGCCCGACCGCAATAAGCCATCGGGGTGTTCCACTTCCTGCCGGTGCGTGACGGATCGCGACATCGCTATAGCGTTTCGTGACCCCTCAGTGGTCGACAATCTTTCCAGCCCTCCGATGTTCAGATGGAGGAGCAAGGTGTTACAGTCCTAAACTCCGCAATGTGTCGCCCCTGGAACACATCAAGTGTGCATCAACCCGGGATCTCTCTTCGTCCACCGCCCGAGAGGTCCTTGTTATGGCTTATGACTCTTCTACGGCGGTTTGGGTGAGCATCAGGATCCCGTTTCCATAGCCGCTAAGGGCAGTGCTTTTCTGGACGAAACAAGGTGCTCTACTGCTATTCAAATTTGTAAGTAGCAGACATTTGTGATTGTTTAGTGGCAATACACCTTGCTGACGGTAAAGAAAAACTTGTAATGACAACCTGCACATCGGAAAAGGTTCACAATTCACAACCCTAGGAAAACAAACCGCTGCACAGGACATGATTATGCAGTTAGTCATCTTATTAAGAAGAAATTCAATTACCTTTAAGTACAAGTACGTGTACTAATTCTGTTCAATTAGGGCTACAGAAGCAGGGCTATAGTA